TGATGTGGGGGCTTTAGGGGATTTCGATACATCAGAATAAGGGCGACGTACAGGGGCAAAGCGGGCAGAAGCGTCCAAATATGAGACATTTTCTTGTGACATAATAATTTTAATATTGTGTTGTCTAGCAAACTCTGGGCATCCTCTGTCTGTGGCAAAGTGACCACCAGAGCAGTGTAAACAGGTGGCACAACTTTCAACAATGGGACAGATTTCTCCTGAATGTTCCTTGGTACAACGATAACACCTGGGTTTGGATCGGCACTGAGTTTTAATATGGCCGAATCTACAGCAATTATGGCACTGAATTGTCGGAAGCTGGTATGTTTCTACAGGAAGAGAAGTTGAGTAGCAATATATTCTCTTAGGGAGCAGCTGCCCTTCAAACGTAAGTACTACTGTTTGAGTAGGGGTCCAAGTAATTTTATCATTTACATAGGTTTTTCTATTCAGTCTTCTGGCTTTGAGGATTTTCCCACTTGTCTCCGGCAGATCAACTGATTCAATAAACTCATCAAGAGACCAGTCGACAGGAATGTTTCTAACAACACCCATACGAGTTATGTTATATGTTGGTATAGATGCCTTGTATTTATGTCGAATAATAAAGTCTGAGGATACAAATTTGTTAGCTTCCAAACCGGTTGTAAATTCTATTTCAATCCTATTTCTTCCTACGTTCCTAATGCCACCTTTCACTATATTTTTGATGCCATGTTTATGTACAGTTTGACCAAATTTAATAGGACGGATAGTAGTACCAGCAGCAGGGTCAGGTTCAGACCTACTGACGTGTACAACAAAGGGACCACAATCGTCTTGGCCATATTTACGGACTTGCGAAAGGCTAGGGTGTGTGTAAATTGTTTGAACTGAAACTGAAGTGTCTATATCATTGTCGTTTCTCGTACGTTTGTCTAAACCTGAGGTAGATTCCGTCGGTAACTTATGTTTCCGAGAGTCAACTTTATCCGGTAAAGAATGAGATTGAGAGAACATAGGTGGAGATACAAATTCGATGTCTGGTGGATCTGGGGGGTCAGGAGGGTCAGATTCCATATTGACTTTTAACCTAACAACCGTCTATTTAAGTATTAAATTGTTATCTATATAATATGTGTTATAAGTAAGATCTATTATGTTAACTACTTACATAAAACACTTACCTATGTATTGTTACTAAGAAATACTCAATTTAGAAAAGAAAGATTATCAAAAGTTGGCAGAAAAACAAAAACAAATCACAAACACGTGTGTCAACCACTTCGAAAACAACAGAATCCATTTGTCGTATTCAGTTTGTTTTTGTGGATGTCAAAATGAAACGTCAGTTTTGATTTTTTTTTTTTATATATGTTACAATAGAATCCTAGACCATACAGCCATGTCACTGTCACTTGTAAAAAGTTACATCCGTATTATTGTTGCCAACATTGTATTTGTATATCTGTTAAAAAATTATTCCCTTTAATTTTTTCCCTATTGTTAATTGTTTGTTATTATATTAATTTAGTTAACACTAGCGGGTGGTATATGGTGTTTTGCCGGTATTAGTTTTACTTTGCTTGTATTTTTTAGTAATACTATTTATATTTATTTTCATATTTAAGTACTTATGTTATTTTCTGATGATGAAAATTCTTCTGATAATTTTTTATCAGCATGTAGTAGCGTAAATGATAGTTTTGCAAGTATTTCTGCTTTATCCGACTCACTCAGTTCTTGTTTCTCTGATGTATCAAAAAATTTCAATGTTGTTCATATAAATGCTCAAAGCATTCCGGCTCATTTTTCTGATATGCTGACAAATTTTGACTGTAAGAACATTCATGCCATACTTGTCTCAGAGTCATGGCTTAAGCCATGTCTACCCTCTTCTACATATTCTTTGCCAGGCTTTAACTTAATAAGGAATGACCGTACGACGCATGGAGGGGGTGGTGTCGCCATATATCTCCGTGCTCATATTCCATTCACAGTGGTTGATATGTCACCTCAGCCACCGCCACAGAATGCTGGTGAATACCTCTTCTTGGAGATTAGCCTGTGCCATACTAAAGCACTTCTCGGTGTGTATTACTGTCCCTCTTCTCGTATAAACTATTTTTCTTCTCTTGATAATATATTGGAGTCCCTTTGTCCTACTTACAGTCATACTATTATCATGGGTGACTTCAACACTTGTCTTCTTAAAAATGACTTCCGTTCAGCAGCTTTTCATTCGATTCTCCAATCTAATAATTTATTCTTACCTTCTTTGAATGCCACCCATAATTTTCCCAACTGCACTCCCTCGCTTCTTGACCTTATCATCGTCTCATCTTCTCAACATGTCGCTAAACATGGTCAACTCCCGGCTGATGCCTTCTCTTATCATGACCTGATTTTTCTCTCATGCAAGATCCGCCCACCAAAAGCTAAGCCGAAAATTCTATTGCAGCGTAATTTTAATGGTATTAACAACAGGAAACTTTGCGAGGATGCTGCTAAAATTGATTGGTCACAGCTTCTCGACAGTAACTCTGTAAATGAACAAGTGAATCTTTTTATATCAGCGCTCACAGTGTTGTATGATGTTCACGCCCCTATTCGACCAGTGAAAATGAAGCAACGACCATCTCCGTGGCTTACTGATGACATTAAACGTTTGTCAGAGCGGAAGGCTGCTGCTAAAAATAAGTACAAACGTAAACCTTCTTCCTCCAACTGGGAAAAGTATGTTAAAATTCGCAATCAATGCAATAAGGTGTGTAGGAGTGCACAACGCCAATTTATTCACAACTCCGTTGAAGTCGAAGATCCAGCAAAAGTCTGGAAATTCCTGAGATCTCTGGGCATAGGAAAACAGCGTCAAGAATCTACCTCTAGTAATTTAGATATTAATTCCCTTAATAGGCACTTCTCGTCTTCACATGGCCTTGATTTAACAAGCAAGTCTAACACTTTGGATTATCTTTCATCTCTTCCGTGCCCAGACTATCCACGTTTTTCATTTCATCAATTTTCTGACTGTGATGTTAAGAAGAGCATTATGTCAATAACCTCCAGTGCTGTGGGTGTGGACTCTATCAGTAGGAAAATGATTACCCTTATCCTTGACGAAATCCTTCCTATTATCTCCCATATTCTTAATCAATCCATAAACACGGGTATATTTCCTTCAGCCTGGAAAGATGCTTCCGTTATCCCGTTACCCAAAAAATCGAAACCACTATCCTTCACAGACTATAGTCTGGCCTATAGGCCAGACTATAGCCTATAGGCCTATTTCCATTTTACCATTTCTTTCCAAAGTCCTGGAACGCCTTATTCACAACCAGTTGTCCTGTTTCCTTTTCAAAAATCAACTCCTTAATTCCTACCAATCAGGTTTCCGCGCTGGTCATAGTACTACTACTGCACTGGTGAATGTAACTGAAGATATAAGATCAGGAATGGAGCATGGTAAAGTTACGGTTCTCTCTCTACTTGATTTCAGTAACGCATTTAACACCGTTGACTTTGACATTTTGCTTGGCATATTGCGCTCTATTAACATATCTCCGGCAGTTATTGACTGGTTTCGTAGTTACCTGTCTGGGCGCCGACAGCAAATACGCATTGAGGATTCCTTTTCTACTTGGTGTGATATTTCCGCTGGTGTACCGCAGGGTGGCGTTTTATCTCCATTACTTTTCGCTATATTTATCAACTCCATCTCACGCCAGTTAGTTTCATCCTACCACCTTTATGCAGATGATTTACAAGTTTATTCCCAAGCTTGTCCTGATCAACTGTCTCTAGCGATTAATGCGCTGAACCGTGACTTAGAAATAATTTGTGACTGGAGCAAGTCCTATGGCATAAAAGTAAATGCACTGAAAACCCAAGTCATTATTGTTGGCAGTCCCGCAATGACAAGTAAAATCAACCGCTCATGTTTACCTGCAATTTTGTTCGATGGTGTTGCTTTAATCCCTAGTGATAACGTACGAAATCTGGGAATAGTTATAGATAAAAACTTGACATGGGGACCACAGATCGAGCAGACGAGTCGGAAAATGTTTGCTGCGGCTGGTTCCTTGAAGAGGCTACGTAACTTCTTGCCTGTGGCCACTAAAATTGCGCTCGCACAATCCCTTCTTCTTCCAATACTGGATTACTCCGATGTCAGCTATCTAGACTTAACTGAGGAGCAACTGAATAAACTTGAGAGACTTCAAAATTTTTGTATTAGATTCATATTTGGGTTACGCAAGTATGATCATGTATCTGATTTTCGCACTAAGCTCAAGTGGTTGCCAATTCGACTTCGTCGGAATGCACATATTGTTTCCCTGCTTTACAGTATACTGTTCAATCCTCTCTCACCAACTTATCTTAAGGAACGCTTCAAGTTCCTTAGTGATACGCACTGTCGAGTTTTGAGATCATCGGAGAACCTAAAACTGCAGGTGCCTGTGCACTCCACAAAATTCCTTGATAAGTCATTTGCAGTTCAGGCTGTTCGCTTGTGGAATGCCTTACCTGAAGAAATAATGCGCGCTCCTTCATTAAAGTGTTTTAAAAATATGTTAAAGGAATACTATCTATCACTTTAGGAAGAAATGCTATCGTATCATCCTGTTATATTTATCTTGGTACTGTTTCATTTTAAATGTTTTTATGTATATTGTATTACATTATATTATATATGTTTATTATATTATATTATATATAGTATATTATATTTATATGTAGAGGTATGTATATGTTATTTGTATGTATATATGTAGGTATATTTCTCTCGCAATGTAAGACACCATCTACTACCCGTCTATTTAGTAACAGTCCAGTCTAACCTACGGTTGCCTGGCAGAAATTGCTCTTTAGCGATAAGGCCGCCGATTGTACAACTAAACTGTATAAATTGTATTTTCTCTATAATTTATGGTGTACAATAAAGAATTTATTCATTCATTCATTCATTCACGCGGGCGAAGCCGCTGGCGAAAGCTAGTAATTCATACATTTTGAATTTATTATGCTTTATCTAGATTACTAGAGCGATAGTTTAATACGGGAATGCTATCATCTTGCACTTCTCGAGCTCCCGATATTTCCGCGCCATGATCACGGCCCTCATGGCGCTTGCAAAAAGAGTATCGGGAACTCGAGAAATACAAGTGAAAGAAAGAAAGAAATTTTATTGACCCACATACATAATCGTAAACAAGAATACAGTAAAAAAGAGAAAAAAAAAATGCGAGGCCAAGATGGACCTCTATCTCAGCAAAGACCCTAGTATCGTTCATAGATGGGCAGAATGATACTAAGGGCGCTGTTATTCTGATAGGAGCCTTACAGTTGCATCGATTAAAAATAAAAATTATATACAAGAAAAAAGTGAATAATAATGTCAATATTTATACAATAACACGATATATATTATATTTAAATAACCTATTCTCTCCCAAATCACCAATACCGAAAGAAAAAAGAATAAAAACTGCGAATACGGCTGCATGGGAATGTTCCTCAGCCAGCTACCACCTAATTGGGTAAATTCCGCTAATATTTACGTAATAATAGCATCTCAATAGAACCTGAACTATTTGAATTTGCCATTGCACTGTCAGGTAGACGTGAAATAAAAAGGAAGAGTTATCAAGAGACCTTTGTGATATAATAACGTCTCACATAACCCGGCGCATTTGGTTTTAATATACGTGAAATTAATCAATGTTTAATCAACAATTATGGAGACTAAATAAAAATATGGACCTTAATCGTTTTTATTTTGTTTAATGATAATAAGTGAAACCTTTAATAAACGGAGGAATGGTTTCTGAATATTCATATTTTGATGCTAGTGAACTGGAAAGAAGACGGTGGACATTCAAACAAAAATATTGGATGGATCCCGTTCTATTTAGTCCCGAAAATACCGAGATTACTCCTGATTGGAAGCCCTAGTTTGTAATTAAGTAAACTTAAGAATATAAGATATTAAGGAGTAGTTCGGTGGCGTAATGGATAAGTGTCGCGGTTCATAATTAATAAGCAACTTCCGCAATGGGATGGGTGATCAAAAAAATTATCTAGAGTTACTCCGTGCTTCCGAAGGCACGTTTAGCCGTTAGTGGCTGCATTTGCAGTCATTAATACAGAGTGGGGGGGTCACGGTCCATTCTTCTTAACCATCCATAAGGCAATCTTGAGCTCTGCAATGGGAAAGGGCTGATGATGAAGATGAGACATAAGTATCTATTGTAAATTCACTTTTACTTACCTTAATTTATTGCAAGCACTCTGTCCGCCACATCCAGGCATGTTGTTTCCACCGTTTGGATAGAAATCGACGTGTCCCAGTGGTCTAGAGTGGGGTACAGCTACGGTGTGAATGACCTCTGTGTATCGAGCCACGTCGGGCCTGATAGGAGGTAGGGAATCTAATAATGGTACATTCGGACCTCTAGTTGGATTTAGAGCTGTGGAAAATTATATTTTCTCAGTTAGTTTGTTAAGTCATGTATTCCCTAATCAGTATAGGCAAAATAACAGTTGTGAAATATTTATATAATTGTATAACTTTGAAAGTGGCAATCGCGTTTGGACGAATGATGATTTGAATGATATGAATGTCATAGGCAATTTCTTCTTTTCTTTTATTAATGGCTACATGTTAATAAATTTCTACATGTAAAATGAAAATGAAATGAATAAAAGATGGCGAAGACAAAAAAAGAAATATCCATAGGCAATTTGTTTTGGCATTTCCCGAAAGATATTTGTAACTGTCACTTTGCTTAGATAATGGGGATGACAACTAATTTAATTGATGAAAAATATTATGGACATATTTTTTTTCGTTATCATTAAATGAGGAAGTATTTTAAGAAAAAAAAGGAAGGTCTAAAAAGAACCAAACTATCGGAAAGGCGTGTCATTGAGGAAGTATTTAAAAAAAACATTAGCTCCCGAAATCAAACTAGATGTCGCTATGGTAGGTTCTTGATTTTTCCATGACAACCTTTCCGGTTTTCTTTCATGCTTAAAAGTAAATTAGTTTTCAAAACTCAATAAATAACTCATATTTATTCTATTTGTATTGATATCAAAGTTTCAAACTTTTAAAATTTGACAGTGTTATTACAAAAAAGATAAACACGCGTTGAACACGTGTTTAAAAAAAATTCTATTACAAAATCGTATTTAGGCATTGTTTAAGGCTAAACATCCCTTAAACATTGTTTAAAATATAAACACTCGTTGAGAGTTGTTTAACGCGTGTCTAACCTCAAAATAGGTTGCGCTTTGTTGAAAATTCATCCATATTCTTAAGATAAAGATTATATTGATATGGTCGATTTAGATTACATGGAAAGCTTTCAGGAAGCGTAAGTAAACCGAACGCGAATTAATCCATTTGAGCAATACAATGAACTTTGATATAAAAGAAAGTACATATTTAGTGGATTGTTTGCTGACAAAATATATGAAATTATTTAAGACGATATTCTACATAATCCTCGAGATGAAAGTATAGATCTGCAAATAAATACACGTATCATGTGCATGTGTGCATAGCTTCTGTGTCAGTACACAGCTTGTGAACATGTGCGGCGTTGGGTTCGGCATCAGGTAGTCGTTGTTCCGTTTCTTCATATTATTTCGCTATAGTTTTACTTAACCTTACTCTAATATGAATTATGAATAGAAGTGCCAGTTTAAAAACGTTAGTTTTGTACTTTCTTTTTTACTTTTGAAAGTTATTGGCTAATACGTTATTGAACATATCTTTTTACGATTAGAATTTATCATAAGTCTGTATACAATGTGCATATAATGGAACGTGTATGAACGAATGAAAGCCGACTGAACGAATGCTTTACGGGTTGCATGTTTAAATCAGCGTTAGTTAGACTATGACTAAAAATGGATTTGTAATAGACAAAGTTAAACATCATTTTAAACAGGGTTTATATTCTTAGACATTGTTTACTTAAACACATGGTAAAACCCTGTCTAACATCTCTTTTGTAATAACACTGTGAGTTTTTTAAAATGTTAGTTAAAAGGAACGGAAATGACTGTCTTTGGTCCATTCGTTTCCTGCAAAAATCTACTTTTGCTAGAGTCGCCATCTATTGAGGTGCTTTATAGTGTTTTCTTTTTTTTTAAATACTTTCTCATAGGCATCTCTATTTTTGCAAAATACAAGGGAACAATAGGATGGCATTAAGTAGCTAGTACAGCGCGTAAGTTATACGTAGGCGGGATGATAAATAGCTAGCACAACCCATATTTTTTATAATAACGATATAAAATCTCCTTAGTATTTTACTACTTGGTTCATTAGCTGCCAGTGTTCCAAATTTCAAATCGATCGAATAGTTTTTCTTTTAAATATTAACATTTCAAAAAGCATTCTTTTGTTTTTTCTGCAAAATTGATAAAATTGAGCTACGAGCTGTGATAAAGTTTTTGCGTTTAAAAGGATTAAAAGGTGGAGAGATTTTTTCGGAGATGAAGGATGTTTTGGGAGAAAATGCTCCTTCATATGCGAACATAAAAAATTGGGTGGCTGAATTTAAACGTGGCCGTACCAGCACCCAAGATGAACATCGTCCAGGACGTCCAAAAAGTACCACTACTCCAGAAATTGTGATCAAAATTCATGATGCAGTTTTAGTTGACCAAATATTGAAACTTTCCGAGATAGCTGATACTGTAGGCATCTCTAAAGAACGGGCGCATTACATTTTGACTCAAGAATTATGTATGAAAAAATTATCCGCAAGGTGGGTGCCGCGATTGCTTACAGTTGACCAAAAACGCGTTCGTATGCAAATTTCACAAGAATGTTTGGACCGCTTTAAGAGCAATACAACTGATTTTCTGCAACGGTTTGTTACTACAGACGAGACTTGGGTTCACCACTATATACCTGAATCAAAAATTCAGTCTAAACAATGGACGGGAAAAGGATCCCCGGCTCCAAAGAAAGCAAAAGCCGTGAAATGAGCGGGGAAAGTCATAGCGTCAGTATTTTGGGATTCGAAGGGTATATTTATGATTGATTACCTTCCAAAAGGATAAAACATAAATGGCGAATATTATGCTGATCTACTGGATAAATTACAAGTGTGTATTCGTGAAAAAAGACCCGGCCTAGCTAAAAAAAATAATCTTTCATCAGGATAATGCGCGCATTCACACGTGCATCACTGCCATGGCGAAATTCAAAGAATAAAATTATGATTTGCTACCACACCCAGCTTATTTTCCTGATCTGGCAGCATCTGACTTTTATCTATTCCCTAAGCTCAAAATTTTTTTAGGTGGACAAAGATTTGAAAATAATACCGAGGTGATGTCTGCCGTGGACTGTTATTTTGAAGGGCTTGAAGAAAACCACTTCAGGGATGGCATCAAGGCTTTAGAATATAGATGGATGAATAGCGCTTCAAGGAGACTGCGTCGAAAAATAAATATACTTTTAACACACATATTCAAGTTTTTCTATGCTAGGCTAGCTATTTATCATCCCGCCCACGTACTTTAACCAGCGTTTAAGTGCAAGATTCGTCTCACCTGTAATATAACCAATTTCTTTGTTTAATACACGCCCAATGTAGCCAACGTTTAAGGCACCGATACCCATACCGATCAAATGGAAGTTCTCCAAGTCAGAGTTCGTAGAAGTGGACAGCCATCTGATGAATCTAGCCACGAAATTACCTGGGGAAAGAATATAATTCTATAGCGTTATAATTCTATAGCGTTGTCATATATTACTTATTTATATGTTGCAAAATATTTCCATCATCTTTACGAAGATCGTTTGATTTAGTTTTGTTTTTTAATTATTAGTTATTCGTTTACTTAATTACCCGATTGTACAGATGGCGTGATCGTCGATACATCTAATTTTATTAGAATGGTAACACTGACTTTGACACTTCGTTAATGTAAAGGAATTTTCCGCCATTTTGGCACGCATTCCGATCGCAGAGGAGTAAAGACATCCGACGACATCACGCTCATCTCGTTATATATTTGACATAACAATATTGCAGCGACATTGTCACAAACTTCCCTCGTATATTTGACGCAGCAATTTAGAATCAAAGAAAAATCAAACTTGCACCAACTTAGCATGCTATCTGGGATGTCATTTCGAAACTCACTTCTACGCTACGAAACATATTACCAATTCAGCGATTGAGCAGATGCCGCTTTTTGAAGTGAATTGGAACACCTTAGTGAATTCTAATTCGGGTTTGGATTTTTAAGGAATCATTCTACTGTCGTAATCGCATAGGTTAGTGAGTCATATCGTACTCGTATTAGGGTGTATGTACCTGATAACCAGGAGTAGAAGGTAGAAAGAAGCGGTGAAGCTTTGGCGCCGGCAGACCAGTCAACTAGGATCACGTTCACGTCTGCAGCTTGCAACAAACCTGAAAGTATAAAATATGTAGTCTTCCTCATTTATGAGATATGTAACTTGCTTACCGCCAGTGGTTTTGCCCGCGTTTTCTCAAGGGAACGGTTTGGCGGGATCAAAATTAGCCTATATGTTAATCCCGGCTTAGAATTTATATATAATCGGTATACCATCAAAATCCTTTCAGTAGTTCAAGTAAAAATTACTTTAATTATGGATTTGCATTTTAAAATGTGTTGTTTCTCCTAATGTACTAAACCGCAGTAAACTTTTACAATTGGTATGGTTTCCGTTAGCCTATTAGAGAGTGATACCTTAACAAGAAGGCCGCCTTTTGTGTTCTAGTTTATAGTACTTTTTAAATGTGTTTCGTAATAAAATAGAGAATATTCATATCATAGTTTATGCGTGAAGTAATAAACATCCAAACTTTCGTATATATAATGTTAGTAAGATTAATCGTTGCTCAAAGAATATGCACAAAACCAACACTTTTGGAGCCGAGAAGCAACGGATTAAAGATGTCCTAATTGTCACATTCAAACATTATAATATTGGATGACTGATTTTTCTCTTTCTATCCAAAAGGAACAGCTTGAAGGCTAGTCCTAACGCCAATGAAATACGTATTAAGCCTCGTTTGATCTTTCACGTTTGGGAGAAGTGCTTGGAATCTAATAGGGACTGCCTCAACACATAAAATACAATTAACTAATTCGAGCAATGATATTTTGTGCGTTTAAACGGGGTATGTAATTGTTTTATTCAAGAACTTATACTATCATAATTTTATACGAGCCTTTTTTATATTCTTTTTATTTTTGTGTTGTTACAGTTTTTTGTTTGTACCATAAATATACTTATCAAGCCTAGTCAGCCGTTTCATTTGCTACCAACATCGAAGCTACCGCACCCGTTACAATGTTATACTGAAAAATATACTTCATACAAAATGCTTAAAAATCCACTTGGTCCTTTGCACCCTGAGATGGGACTCGAACCCACTACCTTTTGCAATCCGAAATTGATCAAATATTATATATTAATTGATATAATTTAGAACAAATTGTCATCTTTATCGATAGTTTCAGTATTTGTAATAATATTTCTTTCGGCTGTTTGGGTAGATGCCTGAACATTGAGAGAATACACTCTTTAGTAGCGATAAGTAACAAGTGCTTGGAACATTCGTCAGTTCTGTTAGGTCCAGGGTAACTCAGCGGTTAAAGTAGTCCCAGGCAGGGGCGGATCTACCTAAGGGCTTAATGGGCTTAAGCAGAGTGAACACTAAGGGTCCTCGACCCCTAATAAATAAAACAAAACAATATACAGTACGTCAATTTTATATTAGGTACTATTGAAGAGAGCTTCTTAACAATTATACATTCTCTAATTAATAGGCCCCTGATTAGAATTAGCCTAGGGCCCCACAAATTCACGATCCGCCCCTGGTCCCACGGATTGCAAAAGGTCGAGTCCCATTACAGGGTGCCAGGGACCAAGTGGTTTTTTAAGCATTTTGTATTAAGGTTAATAAATTATTTAGTTTATAAAAGAAAGGAAATACTTATTACCAATGTTTTAAAGCAGTTCTCCCCTCTCTCTAAATTTGCTGTGCCCGACGGGGTCCATAATGATACTTTTGGTTTTTTTTTTATAAATACCCAAATACTACATTGTGAAATGCAAAAAATAAATAAATATTAATTCTCATAAATATAGAATTTCTTGCTTAATTTTCTTTTGTAGATTACCTTTTATCCATTCTTGTCATGTGCGATGATTAAAAAGAAACTGTAGTACACATAATTTTAACTTACTTGGAATAAGGACGAGATTTGAGTCCGCAAGAGCTGATTCACCCAGATCATGCACCAATATGATTGTCCTTCGAGATGAATCAAAATTGCTATTCTGAAGAATCTGCAGGTTACCATTAAGGATTGGTTGACTTAATCCGGGATTTGCTCTGCGAATAAATAAATAAATTAAAAAAAAGCTGTCATTATTATGTCAGTACAAGCTTATTCTTAACCTATTAGGTCCCGCGAGCCTCTTAAGAGGTTTGCAAGCCACAGGCCAAGAAAAATATAAATGTATTTTTCAGCAATATATTTATAGTAAGAAAAACAGGAGCAATGTAAGTGTTGTAATATTATTACAAAAAAATATCAAAATCTTGTGTAGATCGGGAGAAAAAATGGCGCGAAAGTAAGTATGCTACTTCCAAACGCGTGATCATTGATTTTTTACTTTTAAAACATACGTCTTTTATAGATCGATTTTATGGTTATATATTGATATTTAAAAATATATATGATAATTTATGTTGATTATTATAATTATTGAGAAGCTCGGTGGCGTAGTGGATAAGCGCCGCGGCCCGCGATCGTAGTCGTTAGGCAACTTTCGCAAGGGTCAGTCACGGGATGGGTGACCAAAAAATTATTATCTCGAGCTACTCCGTGCTTCGGAAGGCACGTTAAGTTGTTGGTCCCGACTGCATTTGCAGTCGTTAATACCCTCCAATCCGCATTGGGCTGGCCCAATGGAGGGTCATGGCCCATCCTCCTTAACCATCCATAAGGAAGGTCCAAGCCCCTGTAGTGGGGACGTAAAAGGGCTGGTGATGATGATGATTGTAATTATTGATTACACACTTTTTTTATTTCAAGCCGCCGCAAGATGTTTTCTTTCATGCGAACTATAAGGGATGGGACCTAAGAGATTAATGAAAAATCCACCAGACTTAGGTACCCGAGATGGGTTCGAACCCACGACCTTGCGCTAACCACTGAGGTACCCGATACCCAACAGGAGTAACGAATTTTTCAACCATTTAGTACTTGAGATAAACTTGAAATAACAATGAGTTCGAGCTGAAAACTAGCCACGGGACTCTTTTCTTAATTAATTTGTATTGGCCAGAAGTTTGGTCCGAGATATACTAGCAGTCAGTCATGGCGACGTGTGTCTAAATAGGATAGTTCATATTATTATCTAAATATATATAACTCAAAGGTGACTGACTGACATAGTGATCTATCAACGCACAGCCCAAACCACTGGACGGATCGGGCTGAAATTTGGCATGCAGATAGATGTTATGACGTAGGCATCCGCTAAGAAAGGATTTTGAACAATTCTACCCTCAAGAGGATAAAACAGGGGATGAAATTTTGTCTATTTTAAACCGATCGGGCTGAGACTTTGCATGCATTAAGCTACTATGACGTAGGCATCCCCTAAGAATGGATTTTCATAAATTCAACCCCCAAGGGGATAAAATAGGGTATGAAACTTTATTTCAGGTATTTTATACGATATAATTAATAAATATTCGTTAGAAATGCTACTCAAAGTAACTTTACCACGAGGACGAAGTCGCGGGCAAAAGCTAGTTAAAAACAAGTCAAATTGCACAAAAACTACATTTTACATCGTAATAAACATAAAGGGTCTGATTTTGAGTCTCAAAATATTATTATATTATTATCTTAAAATTGAAAGTCGACATTCTTTGCCTGTGTGTCACGCGACTTGAAACACGATCCGCCATTGTGTGACGTCACTGTGGCAACAGTTTTCAGATAATTCATAAAGATATGCCTATTAATATGATTTATAATAAATAGGCATTTTTTTATTTCATAAACGATCGATTAGGTGGCATTGTTCTTGTTTTATTTTAATCTTTTAATCTTCTGCTCTATGCATCTGTTTTGTGTACATATCATAATGACGTCATGAATATGACGGACAGCATTTCCGAGTGTATAAAAAAAGTTTAAATATTGATTTATTTTTAAGGCAAAAAACGTGTTTATTTTTCCGAAATATTTTTTTTTTTGCTTTTTTATATAAAATAAACAATTACAAGTATTATTTCAGGCCTCGTTTTGGCTTAATTCGGCACTGACTTCTAATACAACAATTGGACTTCGACCACATTCTCCGGGCTGACAAATGGAGGGATGTAATTTCTCTTACAGTTGACATTAATACTTGGCGAGTGTCCATTATTATGGGAAACTAACTGGCTTCAAGCAGAGAAATAAAGCGATAAAAATGATAATAAAACACAGTGCCGGATTGGCCACGTAGCAAAAGTTGCAAAGGCTACGGGCCCCGCTCTTTTGGGAGCGCCGCACATTTGGGAGCCCCGCGCAGTTGGGAGCCTCGCTATGGGCCGACCAATAAATTAATTTGTCCGTCAGGTTAAAAATGCAAGAAATATAGAAAGCTACTAACAAACTCATATTTTTTAAGTAAAAACATAAGCCGGGTTCTAAATCTCATGTCACAGACTAGTCATGTTATATTATTTGGAAAGGAAATTTTTTGTTTGGTTTGTAATGTTGCTGATTCCGATTATTGATCATCGTCATCACGAAAGATATATTAGATGATTCGAATAATGCCCACAATTTTTTGAAAAGTCACAAACTGTAACGTACCTTTATTTTGTTGTTAAGCCTCAAAAACAAGAAAGCGCGTGTTTATTTTCACATGGTAAGTCAAATTGAGTCTGAACAGTTGTATTGACAGTTACAATGAAATGTTATTTTCTTCTAATTTTATTTAAACACTTAATGTCAAGCTTAGTAGCCTCAAAGAATTGCTACAGGCCCTGCTCTGGCTTAATCCGGCACTGGTAAAGCATAACAATTCCGTCATCTTAGGAGCCGCGTAACTACATTGTTTTTAATATAGTTGGAATCGGATTGAATAAAAATGTACTCACCATTCAGTACATAGTGTTATGACCAGTGGTCGGAATTAGGTAGAGTTATTCATGTACTAACACTGATTTCATACAGCGAAAGAATAAAGTGGATATGTCTCAAATCCCGAGATTAATTTTAAAGAGCAGAAAAAAATTTTTGATTAAAAAGTTATTTACTTTTACACAATTTAAACTACTGCACGCACGACGTTGCCAAACTTACATCAATGACATCGGATGTCCAAAGAATTAGAAATTGTCCATTAGAAATCCCGGGAAGGTCCACATTAATATCAACATTTCGATGCAAGTACATAAATAACTCTACCTAATTCCGACCTCTGGTTATGACCGAGAGAGAGACTTAAACCCTATGTATAGAACGCATAAACTGTATTTATAAAAACAATACGGCTTCAAACATAAAGTGCAATTTTGATTGAAGCCAATGCCAACTAAATCCAATTACTCATTTGTAGACAGATTTTCAATTTGTAATTATAATATTTACCTGGTGAATAAATGAAGTTGGTTATCTCGATTGGGGATGTATGGAATCTGATCAACAATAATCCCCGGCAATTGTGGTGGCCAAGGAATATCTGGAAGTTGGGGCCATGAAATGTCTGGAATCGGTGGAGGCCAGGTCAATCCCTCGGGCCACCAGCAAGGCCCATTCTCTAGGATAGACTCCGGTATTTGTGGGGGCCAGGCACAATTTTTGGGCCACCAAGCTGGAGCTTCCTCGGGTAATGTTGGGGGCCAAACTAAATCATCAGGCAAACTTGGGGGCCAAACTAAATCGTCAGGCAACCTTGGGGGCCATTCGAATGCATTAGGCCACCACCATGGGGCTTCTTCTGGTAGTGTCGGTGGCCAGACAATGTTTTCTGGATTTGGCCATGTGATATACTGAAGCAGCTGTGCCAGTTTTCTAGTTTCCACTGAAAAATAATGAAATCTTATGAGCTATAATTATTATAAATATCTTATGATACATATGTGAAGACTTATAAATAGGAAAGATATGATTGTTTGCAATTAGCAGACGAAAAATATCAAATACGATGGACTATAACTATTTATCGATTGTATTACTGTAATCACTATCTGTCAGTGAGCGAGCTGTCACTGTGATTTAGATATTGACGTAAGGTTAGATTCGCGGCAATATATTACCACTGATCACATTTTTTTTAACTGTCAAAAGTATCCGTCTTTATATAATCAACTCCCACCTAAAACTCCCCGTCCAGTTAATCTTAACTCTCTTCTTACTATTTCTGACAAATCTGGCTTTCTACGTCTTTGCAAATTTATTAAAAAACATGATATCAAATTATAAAAATAAGTGTTACAAATTTCTCTTTTATATATTTAAATATTGTAGTTATAGTGTTATTTGCTTTTGTGTTGTCCTTTTATGTATTTAAATTATTGTAGTTATAATGATATCTGCTCTTGTGTTGTTTTTTTTTAGTAGAGAAAGAACAATCTCAAGGAAGAATTGATTAATTACCGTACATATGTAATTATAACTATCGTTCAGTCTCTTAAATCACGTGTCTCTCTCACTACGGGATGTTGGCAAAATTTGCGTGTATAACGGAACAAGACCATATTGAAAAAAAAAAATGAGGAAATATTAAAAAAAAGCACTAAAAAGCACCTCCACTAGATGGCGACTCTAACAAAATTATATTTTTGCAGGAAACGAATGAACCAATGATAGTCATTTCCGTTCCTTTTAACTAACATATTAAAAAACTGAAATTTGAAAAGTTCGAAACTTAGATATCAATACAAATACGAAAAAGTACAAATAGATTATAAGTTGTTTATTGAGTTTTGAAAACTAATTTACTTTTATACATGAAAGAAAACCGGAAGGGTTGTCATGGTGAAATCAAGAAAGTACCGTAGCGACATCTAGTATGATATCAGGAACTTGTTTTTTATATTCTTCCTCATTATCACGATACATTGAGTAATGTCATGTCATGTTGATAATAATGTCATTGGGTTTCTTTACCATTTTTTTTTAAACTGTTTAGATTAATTACTTGATATGTGTATTATCTAATATACGTAATTCTTGGTATATGAAGCATACACAATAGATAAATAAAATCCGTTTGCAAAGACTAATCAATCAAGTATCGATATACGATTCGGGGATTTCCATGATATAAAGAAATGTAACGGCTTACCTTCATTTTTATTTAAAGCTCCCGGAAGCGCTGAAAACATATAGTAAAATATTTTTAATATGCTTTTTAATTACACACTCACTCACAATCATCTTACACACAGATAATAATAATAAATATGGTACAAGTGATGTCATACAGTTATTAACAATAGTTTCTCACATTCTACAGTATATGAACAGTGTGCAAGTATTTTTATTTTTAAATGTCATTACATAAAAACAGAGAGTAATGTTTCAGTTAAGATTATGTCAATAATTAACCATTCAACCACAATAATCCGTTTAAAATTATCATTACGAATGTCAAATTAAATGTCATCTAAATTTAAATTTAATTACCAATTTTATCCATTAAGAAGTCATTATTATTATAATACAATTTATTTATTAAATATTCATGCAGATGTTTTTGGAATTTCGTCAAAGTCATGTCAGTGAGGTGTTTTGGCAGCTTATTATAAATACGTATAGCCATACAAAAAGCATTTTTGGAATAAAAAGTCAATCTTTGTGGTGGCACACACAATTTATCTTTATATCTACCCATATAATTAAAGCTATTACCGTTCACTTCAAATAGAACCATATACCCTTTTACAAATTTTGCTATTTCATAAATATATAGACAAGGCAGAGGATAGTCTACTTTACAATATTAAATATACACTACACTACACTTCATTGATTATATTACATACTAATAACTAGTACAAGTTGATTATTTCTGATAGTTAGATCTATTTAGTGAGGCTTAATTCTTTTTTCTTAACATATTTCCTGAGGACAGAGACGCTGTATGTTAAAATACAGGTATCAACCAAATTCAGTAACAAATGATAAATAGATATTAATAAAAAAATTATAAGAATCACTCGTGTAAAAAATCGCTGTATCGTTTATATAGTTAATAAATATTATTATCATAATTGAATGAATGAAAATACTGTAATAAAGAGAAAAACAAAAATTGTGTCTAAAATAAAATCATGTAGTGGGCCGATCGAGATCTAGCCAGGCATACTACGATATGCCGGCAGGCCAGGACAAATAACGATCGGTCCCATTTAAAGTTTGGCAGATCAATCATAACATAAGGGTTCGACTAGATATCATCAACGGATATATATCATGATATATCAATCGACATTTATAATATTTATTGTTAGTTTGAGTATTGAGTATTCAGTCTCAGCTAGGAAATTAACCAACCCGATGTGACGCTGGCAACATTGGCCCGAAGCTGTAATCTAACTTACTAGAACTATCGGGTTTTCCCCTGTACGTTACTGAAAATCGTCGCTCGCATACTACTTTTTAATTAATTCATAATAAATAAACAAATATGAAAAACTCAAACTCAATTCGTATTTTTGCAAACCCCGTAACTGACACTGATCTTTGAAAATATTATAATTACGATTCTATGTACTTGAGACAATCTCAAGTATTTAAATTTAAGATAATTTTGAAACGCAGACCACTTTTTGCGATTATAGCAATAAATAATTAAAACATCCTTTTTATTTACCAGTCCCATAATTGTTATTCAAACTTCATTTTATTTGCTTACATATAAACGGTAGGAGAAAACCCGGGTTGTTGCCTACCTCTGTTTACATAGGTAGTAATTTGGTCATCCTACAAAATCGATTAATACCTGAGTGTAGTCGGGCAAATCTTTTTCGAATAACTCCAAAGATTTTTATAAAACATACATGTAGTTAAGAACACTCTCGATTTACACCCGGTTTCTGAATTGAGCATTAAAAATTAAGCACTTCTGAAACTGTACTTAAACTTCACTGTAACATGTTTTTGTTTCCGATTTTAGTTTTTTTTTTTTTTAAATAATCAGTATGTAGCAGTTTCATAAAAACTAGGACATTTTGCCTTGTGAAAAGTAAAAAACTCGAGTTATCGAGAACAATCAGTTAGGATATTGTAATTTTCTCAATTCAGAAACCAGCCGGAAAGGTGACCTTTCTTACAAAAAAAAAAAGAATTATCCAAATAGGTTGTGAGCTACGTTACCACATACAGATACACATACACACACACGTCAAACTCATAACACCCCTTATACACAGTTAAAGCATAGATATATTAATTCAAGAAAAACATTATAAATACCTGAAGCGACAGCCAAGCCTACCACAAGTAAAGCGATTATGGCCATTTTAAAATTAATGTAATAATCCACTACACCTCGACCTATAAATATATTTTTAATATCTGATAAGTAAGATAACACTGTTGTTCATATTGTTTTGATCTATATTGGTGCACAGGTGGCTAATGAGTTATAAATGCAATAATCCTATATGTTTAAGTGATCTTCCCGTTAGTAATCAGCAGAGGTCGGAATTAGGTAGAGTTATTTATGTACTTGCATCGAAATGTTGTGGACCTTCCCGGGATTTCTAATGGACAATCCCGTGTGGCCAACAATCTTACAACTAAATAATAATAACAACGTCAGAGATAGACAAATAAAACAAAGATAATTAACATAAAATTTTTATTAGTTTACATTAATTTACAAAACAAATTATTGATAGTCTTAAGCAAATTCTCATACGCATATTTCGTCTTTTTTATAAATACGAGCGAATACTTTTGCTTCTAGCCTAGACTCATGAGGTTTTGTCTATTCAAACGGCCCATCAGAATAATTTTCCTTGTCCGATTGATTTGAAGTGTTCGCTTCCGACATTACTGTATAATTTTTGTGAGAATTAAAATATATAATCATAAGCTTTTCAATATTTTTTGGCTTCAATGAATTTCTCCGAACATTTAAAATCCATTTGTACATTGAAAAAGATCGCTCTACGTCAACTGAGGTGAGGTTAGCCAATTTATACACTTCCTCCTCCTCGTCATTAGTGCAGGAAGAATTTTTTTCTGCTATATTTCTGATAGTGTCCAAATCAGGATTTCTATCCATGACTTTATCCATTTTATCTTCTAAGCTCTCACAATTTGCCCATCTCAAAGCTGAAATAGCTTTCAAATTGAAATTGAAATTTTAAATTGAAATTTCAATTTCAATTTATTTATTAGCCATTTATAACAATATTGTTATACAAGGTATGTCAGTTCACAATTTATAGTTCAATTAAATCTTAATCTCAAGAGAAAAAATAAAACTTACAGTATCTAATTACATCGTGTCATAAAAGTAGATTCGCTTATACGCATCGTCAAAAATTCATTCAAGGAATAGAGAGGATTTTGCTCAAAAAAAGATTTCAGAATACTTTTAAAGCTACTGTGGTTTTTGTTTGTAATACTTAAAGGTAATTTGTTATACATTATTATTTTTAGGTAAATACCCTGTTTTTGAACTTTTTTAGTTTTACCTTTGGATGACGTAACTTTTCATTATTACGTAGATTATATCGATGAGAATCACCTTTTCTTGCAAAATTTTCCTTCTCTACATGGATTTCCAACAAGCTATTATATATATATAAGGAAACAACGGTCATTATTCTGTCTTTCTTAAAATAGGCTCTCGCTGATGTACGCTTACTTACGTTATTTATAGTTCTTATTGCCCTTTTTTGTTGTTTGAGCACACTCTGTATTTCAGCAGCATTTCCCCATACTGTGATTGCATATCTTATAATTGAGTAAATATATGCATAATATACTGTAATGAGTGTGCGTTTGTCTACTAATGGCTTCAGTTTCATTAAAGCATAATTTGCACTGGCTATTCTTTTGCAAATATCTGTAATATGGTTAGAATGACAGATTGTATAGTCTACTTTATAGCCTAGAAATTTGTTTTCCGTTGTTGTTACTTGATTTTTATTTTTTTTAGCACAATACTTCATTACGATACTCTTGTTAGTATTCATCATAATTCCGTTTGCTTTGAACCAATCCTTAAGAATATCCATCGCGTAATTAATTTTATATTATTAGTATTCTTCAGATTTGTCTCTTATACCTACGTGAGTGTCATTCGCAAATAAACTAATGTGAGACCAATTTGGCACAGCACTAGCAAGATCATTTATGTATATTAAGAATAATACTGGGCCCAAAATAGAGCCTTGAGGTACTCCTACATCTATTTTGCATATGCTTGAGTTGTAATTATCAACTGAGACAAAGCTAATCTCACTGCATCAAATATTTCAAATGATTCCATTAGAGAAAGATCGGGTTTCTATAGTGATGTCAAATTTCGTAAATACGAGACAAATCATTCTTAATGTTGTCATTATTATTAAAAAAAATTTAAAGCATTCTCTATTGATTTAGCCTCTTGACTGTTCAGCGCAGACAATACAGATTTAATTTCATCGAAATGCTTAGCATAATAGAATGCTGCATCAAGCCAAATACCCCATCTGGTAATTACAGGTGCAGGAGGTAAAGGTAAATCCGGACACATTTCTTTAAAGATTTTAATTCTTTTTGGTGCCCTCAAAAAAACTTTTTTCATATTTGAAATTAAACTGTCAACATTAGGGTTCTCTTTTCTAATCTGCCCCGCAACAAGATTTAGAGCATGGGCTAAACATGTGAAATGCAACATTTTTGGAAAAGTTGATTTTAAAATTCTACCAGCTGATATCATGTATGCCACACTGTCTGTACATAACATTCTAACCTTTTATTCATTTGCCTAAGGTTCGAACCCGTCACAATACTAATTTAAATTTGAAATTGCCACGACATATGGAATTGTGTATAGTTTACAAGTTGCAATAGCTCTTGGAACGAGGACACTTTGTATGACTAAAAAACATGGAAACATACATAAACTCTTCGAAATATTGCAGTTGGCATATCACTCTTTAGTTTGAAAGTTCAAAGATCTAATGGTTGCCTTAGACAATTTCAATTAGGTTAAATGAACGATATATTTCAAAAAAATGTTACCAACCGTCGTAAAAGCTAACAGTGCTATTAATAAACAAAGTCTTAGAAGTAAATATTACTACAGTAGAACCTCGTACTTGGAAAACCTTTGCCAAGTCTCTGTTTAATAATATGAATTTTGACTAATACTAAATGCAGTCTCAGCGGAAATTTACTCCAATGCCTTGTTTATTAATAACACTGTCCTAATTAAAACTTA